TATTATTATAAATATTATATTAATGGTATAATAATTCTGAAAACTTGCTTTGATCCCAGAGGATGGAGTCATAGGGAAGCGTCATTTCCCTCTACTGTATGAAGGCTGTCTACCAGCAACCGCATTGTTCACTTGCCCTACAGAACATTCTGCCTGTTTTATAACAGTCAAGTCGCCCTTTCCTGTTTTGCTTCTGTACCCCACTCTAAGGGGGAAGCATGCACAGCCCACATTAAGGGCTGGAGGGCTGTGCTCCGGCACCTTCAGATGCTCTACAACATCAACTATTTAGAATTCTGCATGGGAGGTTTCTCCCTTCCCATTTGCTACTCAAATGTTCTCAACTTTGGCCACTGGGATTTCTCTCAGTTGACACCTGTGTTCCTTAGATAGATCCTTGAAAGATGGTGGATTTATTTACTTAAATATTCTTCTCTTTCACTCTTTTCCTCTCCCATGCCTTCTCTTTCTTTCTTCCTGACAACATTTCATGTACCCCAGGCTGATTTAAAACTCACCATTTAGCTAAGAGTGACTTTGAATTTCTGATTCTCCTGCCTCCCCGTCCTGCATGCTGGGTTTTCTTTTATTTTCTTTTCTTTCCTTTTCTTTTTTTTTTTCAGTATAGCACCCAATTTACAAATGGCTGGGATTGAATTTAGGGCTAGTTGAGTACTCTGCCCACTGAAATCTATCCCCAGTCCTGCATTTTCTTATTTTCTAAGTGAAATCTGCTCTAGCTCATCCTATATGGTTTCTTCTGTATTCCCAGAACCAGCCATTTTCCCATGGATCCCTGGATCTTTTTTATTGGAAACAAGATTAGAAAGCATCTTCTTGTTTGTAACCACTGTAGCACGGGAAATCCAGTATCTTCGTGTTAGGTACTTGTTCTGGTGGATGCTACTTCTCCTGAGCCCCTCTCAGCTGACAGCCGAAGAGACACATTTTCGTATCATCCTGCATAACACACTTCCGTTTCCTCTCACCTTGCCTAACTTTCAGTTTATGGGCAGTGTCATCCACCTATTTACTTACTGTTCAATTCTGTCACACTAACGTCACAATGTGAGAACTGTTATCTGGCACTCCTGTGGTGAGTGATTTCATCACCCAGCTCCTTTCGTTTTAGTTTTGCTTCTTAAGATAAGATCATGCTATGTAACCAGGGCTAGGCCGGAACTTAATAGAGACTAAGTTGCATTGTTTAGGGAAGAATTTATGATGGTAGAATTTAAGAGTTAAAATGACTGTTATTACTATAAAGGGGCGCACAAAAAAGAAACACCCATAATAAATTTTAAAAGCAACTTTTGTTTCTATGCTTTTTCACCTGAGACAGCTAGGAGAACCCAACAAAGATAAGAAACAGTTTTTCCAGTGTGGGTAGCAGGCAGGATGGAGCGGTAATATCAGATAGTGAACACTCGTTAGAAGCCACTTTTGCTAAAAGGAATGAGCTTCCTGCCTGGTTTTACAGGGCAACTAAATTCAGGATGAAAGCTTAGCATATCTGTTTTTACTTTGTGTCTGTCCCCTTCACTGTTTAGCCAGTTTAATTTCTGCCTGTAGCTCTGTTAATCATTCCAGGAATGTCTATTTAAAACCCTCTGAGATCTAATCTACCTCATTTTCCTTCAAGGCTGAAGTTGAGAAGGGTTAGGAGTCACGGTCCTAATCCTGAAGTCATCTAACAGTAGTGCATCAAAGGATAGGTCACATCCCACATGCAAAGAAATATCTATGATGTGTAGGCACTACCCTGAGGCAGAGGAATCTTCAGGCAGCGAGAAGTGACTCTGCTCCCCTTGCAGAAGCAGCATTGAGATAATGATCACCTAAGCACTCTTCTCCTCTGCCTCCAACCTAAAGCTCGACTTAACCAATTCCCCCTCTACCTAAAGCAGCTCATATCACTGCCTGTGAGATAAAACTTGATGTCACTGTAACCTTTTATATGTTCCCCTCCCCAACATGCCACACTGATTTAATCGGCCGTGACTTTTCAGCACTATTTAAATTGGTGTACTGTGGCAGGTGATTCAGATACCCTGCTGTGGCTATAGGAGCCAGAGTCTTTCTTTTAGGTTTTTCTTTTTTCTTTCTTCCTTCCTTTCTTTCCTTCTTTCTTTCTTTCTTTCTTTCTTTCTTTCTTTCTTTCTTTCTTTCTTTCTTTTTTGGTTTGGGTTTTTGAGACAGGGTTTCTCTGTGTAGCCCTGGCTGTCCTGGAACTCACTCTGTAGACCAGGCTGGCCTCGAACTCTCCAACTCATAAATCCGCCTGCCTCTGCCTCCCAAGTGCTGGGATTAAAGGCATGCGCCACCACCGCCCGGCGTCTAAATACTATTTTTTTTTCTTTTTGGATTTTCTTTTTAGAGTCTTTCTTTTAAAACTCCAGTAACAATGGAAAAATAAATGAAGTCCTATAATTGTCCCAGCCTATTAGTTTCCCAGACCATTGTCCTGGGAGGAGGAGCCAGGGCAGAGATTAACTTTACCTGAACTTAAAGAGATGGAACTGGGGATGAAAGGTAGGGCAGAACAGCAGAGATGGAGGGAGAGAGATGAGCAAAGAGAGCTCGGAGACCACAAAGACCACCTGAGCAAGAGCAAGGGGAAGGAGCCTAATCTAGTCAGGGAACTGCCGCTTGGAAGTGTCCGAGGAGAAATGACCCAGAAAGAATTTGTACTCTCACCAGTCCAAGTGAAAAAACCTTGGTATCATCAAAATCTTCACAGGGGGCTCTGAATAGCTGGGAAGAATTAAGGTCAGGTTAATTTATAAGCACAAAGAAAAACTTCCACTCAGGTGTCTTTTTGGTTAAGAGGGAAAATATGGCATAACCTCTCTTGGAAGAGGTTTCCATAAAATGGATTTGAAATTCTATTAGGAAGCAGGACTCGACTACTGCCTGGGACATGAGTTTGAGTCATCTCCCCCCTTATACAGGTATCTGTAATGACCACGATGATTTGACAGTTATATTATGCTCAGTGGCTCAACTTAGGTGTGAAGAATTTATCTGGGTCTTGCTTTATGGACACTCAGACGGTACACCACCATACTGTTGGAAAAGCACTCATACAACTAAAAGTAAAATGTTGGCTCAACAGCATCTCTCAGGGATAATTCGTTCTTAAATTATATTTATAAACACCGGGATGTAGACACACTCGGTAGTCCCTTTTATTTTGTGGTTGTCCCTTTAGTCATCTAATTGTGGCATTTTTGATGTGCAAAAGCTTCAGCAGAGTTTAGAGGTAAGGTCCAACTCACAGTCAATGAATACTCCCAACGCTCAAGTTGTATCTAAGCACCATCTCCCTCAAACAGGAATGGAGAGCCTCTGAGGAATGGCTGGCTCCAGGTGGCACTCCCTCTCCCGCCCTTAGTCTGAAGCTTGGAATCTTTTAAAAAGAAAACAATTATTTTTTTAGGTGACTATAAACGAATAGGCCTCTTTATGATATTTTCGTAAATAACAGCCATTGACCTTTGCCCACACTTTCTTGTTTATTGTTGTCCTTATTTTTAGTCTTTTGGTCTCATTCTTGTGACTGTTATTAGCAGAATTTAGAAGTGTATTGAAACTCAGTCCTATATACTCTTAGATTAAGAATCCTTTAGCTAGAGCTATTTAGATGGGGCATGACTTTAATCCCAGCACTCAGGAGTCAGAGGCAGGTGGATCTCTGAGTTTGAGGCCAGCTTGGTCAACAGAGTGAATTTCAGGACAGTCAGGGCTATACAAAGACACCTTGACTCAAGAACACAAAAACAAACAAATGAGAAAACAAGAAAGAAATAAAAAGAAAGGAAGGAAGGAAGATAGAAAGAAAGAAAGAAAGAAAGAAAGAAAGAAAGAAAGAAAACAAGCAAGCAACCAAGACATTTTAAGCGGTGGAGGAATAAGATCAGATTTGCGTTATAGAAGTACCCGTCTGACACTATTGAGAATGAAGAGAGTGGCAGGGAAGTAGAGGGCAGTACATGTTTCGAGCATCTGTGCATGCATGTTATCTGTGTGTAATGACTCCAGTTAGATGTGGAGGAGGGAGACTGATTTGAGATCTTGTCAGTGGAGTAAGTAGGAACTGACTTGCTAGCAGTACGCTAGGCAAGCAAGCCTCAAGTGTTGAGGTTTGGTGTGTGTGTATGGGAGGCGGTGCTGGCAGTCATCAGTAGCGGTGTAAGCAGCTAAATTTTGTGAGACCGTGGATGATTATAGTTATGGTGAGCTTAAGATTATGGGGATGAGCAAGAAGGGTTCTAACTTCCAGAGGAGGCCTCCCGCTCCCAACCCCATCCTTTCATGAACTGGTCTTGGAATATATGTGGTTTCTTTTTAGGTGACATTCCGCCTTGCTTACCAGGGGACTTGGATTTCAGTCCTCTATGGGAAGCAAGTACTAGAGAAGCCCCTTTGTGGCTAGTCAGTGGTGACAAACACTGCATAGAAATTTCCTGACATAAAATGGCTCTCCAAGTGGGAAAGGAGTCACCTTATAAATACTTCCTGATCCTAGATGAGATACAGTTGATGTCAAAAATACTGTGCACTGAGTAGGATTGTAAAGCGATGAGCAACATGTAAATGAGCTGTTCACTAAAGTAATTTTTCCTTTTGCAGGGCTGGGAAACATTTCTCCAAGTCGGCCTAGTTGAAAAGTGCACAAATCGAGTCTGTGGAAGTCCGTAGGCTGGCTAGCGGAAGAAAAGCTAGAGAGCCGCAGGAGCCCACGTCAGCTTCCTCCCCTAACAGCCTCAGCTCTGGGGAGCATCTCCCACGCCCAGCTCTGCAGGCCTGGCTCCGGCTCTCTCATTGCGCATGCTCAGCATCTGGAGGCCTTCTCCAACAAACCCTCAGACCACGCCCCTCTTCCTGGGTCAAGGCGGAGCTTCAAGCATCGCTCCTGGTGATTGGATGTTGAGGTCTCGACCCCGCGCCTCTCGCTTCGCCCCGCCCTCCACACCGCCCAGACGCCAAGCTCTAGCAAAGGCGATCACTAGCTGGAGCGCACGTCAGCGCGCGCCTGGGCCCCGGGTGCAGGCCCCGCCCCTTCTCCCTGCTCCGCCCCGCCCCCGGCCTCTCTCCTACTGCTCGGCACCCGGGGGCTCAGCAGCTGGGCATCCGCGCTCCGCGGCCATGGAGATTCCTGGGAGTCTGTGCAAGAAAGTCAAGCTGAGCAATAACGCGCAGAACTGGGTGAGTGGTGGCCTCAGGCCAGAGCGTGGGCGGCTGTGGGCACCGCGGACTGCCGGTGCATCCTGCGGGAGCCGGGGGCGGGGACCCGGGCGGCGGCGGCCCGTGAAGGCGAGCTCAGGCCCGGAGCTGTCCCCTAGGCAGGAGAGGCGGAGGGCTGCGGTGGAGGCGGACGACGGCGGCGTCTCTGCACGTTCCTTGTTTTCCTTGGCTTTGCCGATGTGCTTGGCCCAGGTTTGGGTCGGTCCCCCAGTCTTTACATTTCTGAGTTGCAGTGTACTGAGAGGATAACAATGTGGCCATTCATGGATCGGGACTGCAGAACTGAGGTTCTTTGTGTCTCTGTTTTAAATTGGAATGTCTGACACAGACATACTTTTAAAGACTTGATTCCTGATGACAGTTAGGTGTGGAAAGATTAATAGTTTTTAACATTGAGCAGCGAGTGCCAGTTGGCCTCCTTGGCCAAGTACTGTGCCTTCAGAGGGTTGTTTCCTTCTGCAGTTATTCTTTAGGGGCAGCCAGCTCAGATGATATGCGCGAAGGTGGAGACCATCCAACTTTGGAGGCTGCAAAGGCCCTGGTCTTAGGTTTAGATGGATTTTTTTTTTTTATTCCGCAGCAAACAGGATCATGATGTTTAATTACAATCTTGTAAATCATTGCTTATCCTTGGCGAGTCAGGAGGAAGAAAAAATGCAGTTTCAGGCTAATGTTCCTTTGAAGTCATTAATTTACCACTCCTGCTGTCAGGTTCAAGAATTCTCCCTGTCTTCTTTCATCCTTTCCCTTAACTTCTTAGAAGGTGAGAGGGACGGTGAGATTAAAGGGAGATTAGGATGTTGGAAGGAGACAGACTCCTGGCATGGGATGGGCTCTAGTCCCGGCCTTCCCATTTGTAAATTGGATGAACTTGAGGACAGTCACTCCACTTTGAATCTCAGGTGACTGAGGGAGTAACAATGTGTCCTTCACAGGATTGCCTTTATAAGTAGAGAAGATAATGAATGTTAAAGAGCAGTGAAACCATTGCTCTGAAACCTTGGTTTTGTAACACTATTGTTGCCAACAGGTATTTTATGGGTAGGGAGGTAAGGTGACGAAATTGGAGTATTTAAAAGAAGTTTCAGTAATACTGTCTGTCTATAAGTCATTTATTTAAAAATTATTTTGTGAGTCTGAGTACTTTGCCTGCATGTATGTATATGCACTATGTGTGTGCCTGATTCCAGAAGGGCGTGTTGGATCCCCTCGCGGGCAGGAGTTACAGGTAGTTATGAGCCACCATGTGAGTGCTCTTAACTGCTGAGCCAACTCTTCTGCCCTAACTCATTTATATATCACGTTATTTGCTATGTAGAGACCCATACTAGACAGTTATTAAAAAAATGGGGCTCAGTGCTTGCTTTGCAGTTGCCCCTGGCATCTGATTATAAGGGCATATGCTTTTATGGGCCACGGTGAGTGGCCTAAGATAGGCATTTTATTGCAGTTTAGAGGCAAGGTTAGTTTGGCCCCAGAGATTTTTATGAGTTTATGGAGGACCTCATATTTCTGAAGTGGGTGGAGCCATTACATCCCTGAGTGGAGACTTGTTTGACTACTGAAGGGAGTTTTTGTTGGGGAGCAGATAAAGGTGGGGTGGAGCAGGGTTGCGTAATGTAAATGTTTGGCTAGAGTTAGGGTGATTTTTTAGGAGATTTGGAATGGAGCTAGAATTTTTAATTTTCTGAACTTTTCTTTCTTCTCTCTAAAAGAATGACCTCCCCTAACTCACTTAACTCAACCTATGGGTGTGAGTGTAAAGAATCTATGCGCTATTAATGTTAACGGTCCCATTTCATAAAACCGGCAATCCAGGAAGACTGGTTTGCAGAAGAAATGCAGGCACCGACTGTGCCATAGTGAGGATTGAGTTGGCAGACTAGAAGCATGGTTGACGTAGCCACACTGCTTAAGGTGTTCTTGTTGTTGTTTGATCCAGTGTGAACAGTTGAATGGCTAGCTAAAAGCAGCAAAGAACTGACAGGGAAGACCAGACTGGACTGAGGTGATGACCAGGAGAGAGACATTAAAAGATGGCCCTGAAGTTTTGATCTGAGAAGTTGGGAGATAAGCTGTAATCTTGTATCTAAATTAACTTGTTGAGTTTTTTGTGGTGTTTCTGTGGGTGGGGTTTAAAAACCAGGACCTTGAATGTGTACATCTGCTATTCCGGAACTCTGAGTTACCACATGTAGGGTCTCCATTTTGTAAATGAGGAAACTGAGGGACAGAGTTGTTAAGGTGACAACTGGAATAGTAAGCCTTTATCTGAAGGACAGGCTTAGTTGAAATTGTAATTTGGTGTTAAGAGAAATTGAATGACCTGTATAACTTAAAAAGAAGAAGACATTAAAATAAGTGAAAAAATATAAATTAAATGTCAATAATATGGTTTGTTTAGCTTAATATGGCCCAAATATTTTCATTTAATTTATATTTTTTAATATACATACAAGCTCAGTGCTATTTGTAATCATTTTAAATTTCTGATGCTTTGCCTTTTTTTGTACATAGAAGTCTGGAAGGTGTTTTATATTTATCACACATCTTAGTTCAGGGTAGGCATTTCACACCTGGTCTCTGGGACCTGTGCACATTGTTACAGGTATTAAATTAGGCTAGGCTAGGAGTAAAAACATAGTAGCTGATTTGAGCAGGATATAGAAAGAATGTTAATTAACATATTGAGAGAAGATTCTAAGCTTTAGACACTGTCTTCTGCTAAGGAGCAGGAAAAAGAAATGGCTTCATGGATGTCAGTAAGTAAGAGATAAGAAAATGTATTGGCGTGACCGGAGGAAGCACTTTGTTCAGCTGTTACCATATACCAACAGGTATATGATACCTGTAGAGAAAAGCCAAGAGTCCATTTTCCACAGGAGCCTCCTTTGATGTCAGTCTGAAATGTAACAAATGTCCTTCTCTAGCTGATTCAATCTTTCTTGCATTGGGGGGTCAGTTTCCATCTGCCCTTTGTAAGAGACTCCGGTGTCACCCTTTGGTAGAATCCTATCCAGCTGAACCCTCTGCTTATGTGAGCTTTATGCTGGACTGGGTTTTGTTAGGATTTGTTACTGTTCTTCCCTCAGAGAAGTCTGGAATGGAGCAGGAGATTCTGAAGCAAACATAGATAGCCTCATTCTGGTTTCCTGTTTCCCTCTCCTACCGTTCCCCATATCCTGGAAGCTCAGCATATCTTTCTTTTTACACATTATATCCTTAGGATTTTATATGTCCTGCTGCCTGGGCCGCCTGGACAGCCCCTTAATGAGGGGGCTTCAGAGCTTTGGGCTATTTGACCTTAAAGTATGTCGCCATGTGGACCTTTTCCATATTCCCTTGCTCCTGGATTGAACTGCTTGTACAGCTCTGTATGTAGTGATGCTATCCTGTATGTGTATACATATTTCCTTAGAGATGTTTTGTATCTACTGAACTCCCATGTGGCAGGAAGGCCAGAAGGGTAGAACGTGGAGTAGCCTGGGTGCTCTTGAGAACATAAATCCTTAGTCTGTTTAAGTAAGGGAATAATGGCATATAGGGAAGGGTTTAGATTGAAGTTCTGTCCTTTAACCATCTGTACGGTCATGGGCACTATCCCTGAGCTCATCCGTGCTTCAGCCCTCTGATCTGTAATAAGGACCAAACAACCATCATAGCCAGGCTAAGTTACACATGTGTCAAGGGTACAGAGCATGCATAGGTTGAAAGTTAAAGGCTCTGAGGTCCTCAGCACTGTTGAGTACTGTTCCTGCTACTATTTAATAATTAAACAACTATTGAATACCCGCTTTGTTTTTGCCTCTATTTCTGATCCTGGGCATGCAGAGGAAGAGGGCCAAAAGGAATTCTGCTCTGGTGGATCTCACCTAGAACTTGAGAGACAATCAAATCAGTGATTCAGATGATTCTTCTTTTCACTAATTTTACATTTGTCGGTCTGTTCTGTACTGCTTTGGTCCTCTCTTAGAAGGCCAGCATCCCGTTCTGGAGGTGGAAGAGGACCAAGATGGTACAGAATGACTCAGGCTTAGGTAGGACACAGAAAACATTGTCCTCCATCTAGGCTGGGACAGTTATTGGTCATCTTAAGTCTTACAGTTTGGGAGCTGATGCTACAGGAAGTGCCTAGAGGAAAGGGAAAGCTCCAATTCTACCAAGAAGCATACTTCAATGCTGACTAACGTGGTTTGCATAAATATCCTTCAGAGGCCCGTGTGTCAAAGGCTGGTTGCCAGCCTATATGCTATTGGTAGGTGGTAGAACCTTTAAAAGGTTCGGTGGGAGGAAGTCTGGTCTTTGGGAGGGCGTTCCTGAAGGGGCGGTTGGAATCCTGCCCACTTCCTGTCACTTCCCAGCTGCCATGTGGTGGGCATTTTGTTTCTCATGTCATCATCAGTACCCAGAGCAGTGGGTTCAGGAACCACGGCCCGAAGCTCCTGAATCCACGAGACTGTATTGATTTCTGTTACAAGAATGGAAAGCTGACCAATGTTTGAAAAGATGACGGTAATGTCTGGAAGGGTCTTTGTTGTATAGTATGGTAGCCACTAACCACACGTGGCAACTTCATTACAGAAAAAAAAAACCCCAGTTCCTTACTTGTACTGACCACATAACTTGTGCTGTAAGTGTAGCTAATGATCATTGCAGCCTAGAACTTTCCATCTGTGGGAGGTCTAAGTCTAGCCTTGGATTCACTGCTCTTTCTTTTCTTTTATTCTACTTCCCTATGTATTTGTGTCTTCTTACTTTCTTCCCAGGGCAAGGCATTTCCAGAGACAGTTGCTATTCTGCAGTTTTGCTTTTGGGTAGAGTGGCATAGGGTGTCTCGCTGTGTTGGCTTTTCTTTTAGTATCATAGCTTTTGTAACCTTTGAGGTGTCTCACATGTTTCTACCACAGTGAATTTTGAGGCAGATTCTCTTCTCAGTCATTGTCAACTGGGTGAGATTTTTG